TATTATCCATGCCAAACAAACTCATTTGACAATAACATCATGAGATTGAATCATAAACTCAATATTATTTTGCAGCAATTTTGACACGATACCCAAAAAAAAATCTTAGTTGGTACCTAGTCTTCTCCTCAAATAATTGGTGAACAGGCACATAGAGATTTGGCAAGGGAAGCTGTGAGGAAATCCTTGGTGCTTTTGAAGAACGGGAAACATGCAAATAGTCCATTGCTTCCTCTTCCCACAAATACATCCAGGATCCTAGTTGCTGGAAGCCATGCTGATGATTTGGGTCAGCAATGTGGTGGTTAGACTATTTCTTGGTAGGGACAAACCGGCAACAATATGACCACCGGTAGGGTGTCAATTTTGCCTATTAACACCACCTTGACACGACTTCAAAAATAACACCACCATTTTGCACTAATAATAAATGAGTCGGGCTAGTTTAATATAAAAAATCGGGTTAGTTGCTATTATGAAATATTTTAGAATTAAATGGTTTATTGTTAGCATTGATATTAATGGAAATACGACATGAGCCAGAATAATACAACTAGAATATGACACGATTCAAAATGACATGGTAGCACGACAAAAACTAAAATAACACAAAGTCCAATAACAAGATACACAAGTGGCATGACAAAACTCGATTGACACCTCTAATCACGTGTGTTTTCCCTTTAATTCTATCCCCCTCAACTATTTAGTCTACTACTTGAGAACACAATTTACTAGGTTGACTATTCATCTCTAATCAATAGGAACTACAATCCTAAGTGGCATCAAATCTGCTGTTGACCCAATCACAGAAGTAGTATACCAAAAAAACCCTAATTCCAAATTTCTTCAATCCAATAACGTCTCTCTTACGCCATTGTTGTTGTGGGAGAACCCCCTTATGCTGAAACAAGAGGAGACAATTTGAACCTAACTATTCCATCACTAGGCCCAAACACAATCAAAAGTGTTAAGTGTGTTGTCGTCCTGATCTCTAGTAGACCTCTGGTGATCCAGCCATACCTCCCCCACGTTGATGCTTTGTGTCACACCCTAACTGACTTGGGTGCAAATGGCCGATCTTGGTGGCACCTTGTACCAAGGCATGCCATAAGTTGGAATCAAGGTGACGCGGCTAAGTGGTTCGACAGATTTGGGCAAACCAAGATAGCATGAGACCACCCGATTGAGCATGGCAGCACGTGGTGGGCTCAATTGAAGCAATGTGGGTGCATAGCTTCGGATTATATGGCATGGGTTGAACCCAACATACACATTGGTTCGTGAAGCAAGGCTGGTTGTTGAATGTGGGCACATGACTGGCACATGGCTACTCAATGCATGTGACCAGGAGAATGTGGACAGTTGTAGATGCTGAGACACAGTCAAGACAATTGTTGAGGCAGTTCTGGGCGTCCCTAGTCTGAATTCAGTCCAGATGCATGCTGATAAAGGGCAGTTCCACATCAGTTACTGAAAGAGGTGGAACTGCCTGCCAGATGTTGCACAGAGACTAAACCTGCTAGCCAAGTATGCTATGTAATAGCAAAAACGTGTGTCACTACCCCTTGGTAGATGAGGGTGTCATCTGCCTTACTCCTGTATAAATAGGGGTGCTTGAGCATTCTGATAGAGAGAGAGTGTTTTGGCTTTGAGAGTTCCTTGTAAATTGTTGAGTTCAATATATAAGGTTTGAGAACTTTGTCCTAGTAAATTCGTGTGTGCATTCTGTGTGAGTTTCTGTCCCTTACTCTTGAGTTTGCGTGTGGCTGGTTGCAATAGCAACGCTTTCACAGGTAGCCTCGAAAGAAAAATAAAAGTTACCCCGTGACATTTTGGTATCAGAGTATGGTTTTGGCAAAAGATCAACTATGACTGACGGAGCGAGTGCTGATCTAAGGGAAAGGGTGGCACGTTTGGAGGAGTTGGTTGGTCCTCCACAGTCCGGTGATGTTGTGGCTCTCTCTGTGCAACTTGAGTTGCTGCATCAGCGGTTTGAAGAGATGTGTGTTGCACATGAACAGCTTCAAAAGACTAAATCTGATCACTTCAGTTGAGTAAAAAACGAAGTCATTGACGTGCTGGCTACGACCTCCACATGGATCGATGATATGGGAGAAAAATTGAGTTCCCTCGAGACAGACATTTCAGTGCTCAAGAAGGCACTACAGAATGCTTCTTTGGCTTCTGGCAGTGAAAGCACTCAGAAAGCTAAAGTGTCTGACCCTAAGCCTTTCACAGGCAGTCGTAATGCTAAAGAACTTGAGAACTTTATGTGGGATATGGGGCACTACTTCAAAGCAGTCTGCACTCCGGATGCTAAGAAGGTAAATCTCACTAGCATGTACCTGTCTGGTGATGCTAAATTATGGTGGCCAACACGTTCTGAGGACAAATCTCGTCCTCCAATTACTACTTGGGAGTCTCTGTCCGCTGAAATGAAGGAGTAATTCCTTCCCGGCAACACGGCTTGGCAAGCCCGTGATGCATTAAGGAAATTTCGACATACAAGCACCGTGAGGGAGTACGTGAAGCAATTCTCATNGCAATTCCTTCTCAGCAACACGGCTTGGCAAGCCCGTGATGCATTGAGAAAACTTCGACATACAAGCACCGTGAGGGAGTACGTGAAGCAATTCTCATCTTTGATGCTTGACATCAAAAATATGTCAGAGGAAGACAAGTTGTTCAACTTTATGTCTGGCCTCCAAACTTGGGCACAGGCAGAACTTCGTCGGCAAGGGATGAAAGACTTACCCGCTGCTATGTCCACAACAGACGCGCTGGTTGACTACAAAACGTAGGCTAACCCTCTAGAGAATGAGTTAAAAGGGAAAGCCAAGTTCCCTAAGAAGGACAAGCAGAAGAAAAAGGCTGAGAAGTCTGGCAATTCAGAAAAATTTACTAACAAAGCCTTTTCATCAAAGGGAGGTGCTGACTAAGGCTGTTTTATCTGTAATGGCCCTCATCGTGCCAGAAATTGCCCCAAGAAGAAAAGCCTCAGTGCCCTCATGGCTGAGGAAACTGACTGTTCTGACGAACCAACACGGGTCAACCCATTACAACTCCTTAATGCAATTCGCAAAGAGAAGACGGTGGCAAAGAGGGGGTTGATGTTTGTGCAGATTCGCCTGAACAATATGGCTGTCTAGGCAATGGTTGATAGAGGTGCAACCCATAATTTTGTTTCTGACCGGGAAGTACAGCGACTTGGTCTGGCTTTGGTGAAAGACTCTAGCCAGATTAAGGCTGTTAATTCAGAGGCAAAACTAGTAGGCGGCATCGCAAGAAAAGTTCCTTTAAAAGTTGGTGATTGGCAAGGACTATGTGATTTTATGGCAGTCCCTCTCAATGATTTTCAGGTAATCCTTGGACTGCAATTCCTTACAAAGGCAAAGGTGTATGTTATGCCGCATTTACATGGGATGTTCGCGATGAACATGCTCAATCCCTGTTTTATTTCCCTCACTAAGGCCAAGTTTTCAGGAAAAATGTTGTCTGTCTTGCAAGTAAAAGTTGGCTTGCGAAGGGGGGAAGCAACATACTTGACTATTCTATTTGAGGAAGAGGATTCCAAAGCATTGCAAGTCCCTGAACCAGTGCAACAGTTGCTGGTTGAATTCAAGGACGTGGCACCTAAAGAATTGCCAACAAGGTTACCACCAAGACGGGAGATTGATCATGCCATCAAGTTTATTCCAGGGGCAAAAATCCCAGCCCAGGCTCCTTATTGAATGTCTCCATCAGAGTTGGCAGAGCTAAGGAGACAGCTTGGGGGTTTATTGGATATTGGGTTCATTCAACTTTCCAAGGCACCCTATAGAGCCCCTGTTCTGTTTCAGAAAAAGAAGGACGGATCCTTACGGCTTTGTGTAGACTACAGAGCCCTCAATAAAGTCACTGTCAAGAACAATTATCCAGTGCCGCTTGTTGACGAATCATTTGATAGATTAGGAAAGGCAATTTTCTTCACCAAGATGGACTTGCGGCTGGGATATCATCAAATCAGAATTGCAGAGGGAGATGAGACGAAGACTGCTTGTGTGATAAGGTACGGTTCATATGAGTTTTTAGTCATGCCTTTCGGCTTAACCAACGCCCCTGCTACATTCTGTAACTTGATGACCAACATATTTTGGGAATACTTAGACCGTTTCATGATGCTTTATTTGAACGACATAGTTGTTTACAGTCAGACTCTTGAGGAGCATGTTGAGCATCTTAGGCTGGCTTTGACAAAGTTGAGGGAAACCCAGTTGTATCTAAAACTAGAAAAATGTGAGTTTGCATAGAAGAAAATTTCATTCCTTGGGCATATTATTTCTGCGGGCGTAGTGAAGATGGACCCGAAGAAAGTTGAGATCATTGCAGATTAGCATGTCCCTACTCAGTACATGAGAAGGAGATGACATCACTCATTCACTGCATCAATGCATGAAGGCATTACTGGTTGGGGAAGCATTTCCTTGTACTGACAGATAATGTGGCTACCAGCTGCTTCAATTCCATGAAGAAGCTGACACCAAAACAAGCAAGATGGCAGGACTTTCTTGCCCAGTTTCATTTCGCGTTGCAGTACAAGCCTGGCAGTGCAAATCAGGTTGCTGATGCTTTTAGTCAAATCCCAGTTGCTGATGGGACGGTTGCTGCACTTAGCCAGATTACAGGAGACATACTACAGAGAATTCAGGATCAGACAAAAGATGATCCAGCGACCAGCTTATTGTTGAAGTAGGTTCACGAAGGGGTGACTCAGGGGTTTTGGGTAGAAGATGGTGTTCTCTACGCCAAAGGAAGGAGATCCTATGTTCCGAAGTCAGGCGGACTTTGAAAGATGTTGCTGAAAGAAACGTATGATGCTCCGTGGCCAAGACATCTAGGGCAGCAACGGACTCTTGCCTTTCTAGCATAATGCTATTATTGGCCCCACATGGAAACAGATGTGGAGTTGTATGTGCGTATTTGTTTGGTGTGCCAGTAAGACAAGACAGAAAGGAAGAAGGTGACGGGTACGTTGGAACCCCTCCCTATTCCAAGCAGACCTTGGGAGAGTGTTTCCATGGACTTCATTAATGGCTTGCCTCGATATTTGTGGTTGTAGACAAATTTTTGAAGTATGCCACTTTCATTGCTGCCCCAAAAGTATGTACGGCGGAAGTTACTACTCAGTTGTTCCTCAAGCATATTGTGAAGCTTTAGGGTCTTCCGCTGGATATAGTCAGCGACAGGGACACTCGGTTTACTAGTCGG